CGTAAATAATTTATTATTAAGCCCTAGAAACGACGCAAAGCGGTTGAATAAGCAAGCATAAAAAAATGACAGTACACTCATTGCATTTAGAAGCAAGTTTTACATTTAAATATCTCATTTTGTGCGTATTGAGGGTGCATTGCTTATGAAAATGATTGACTTGCTTTTTACGGCCTATCAACCCTTTGTAGCTCATATAAAACCGAAACATATTACAAATTGTAGGTTTAATATACTACCTGATGTTCATAACCAGTCACCCCTCTAAGTACTGAACGAACTCGACGCTGCTTAACTTCGGTGATCGAAAGAGGAAAATGCTGGTGTAGATATGCGTGTGAACGTATATTAGTGTGTGTACTTGAGTAATTCTGTACGAGCTTGCATGTGAGTTGCAATGAGTATGTAGGTGGAAGCGTACATGTGTGTATATGTAACATTGTGTGTATGAATACCTGTGTGCGTTTACGCGAGTAATAATGTGTGCATGGGTGGATATGCGTGTGTTGAACTATATTTCAGCTTAGGTATAAATGAGTGTGAATTAGCTGTGCGAATAAATACACACGCGTGCGTGTGTTTCTACGTTAGCGAGAGAGAAAGAGAGAATCAGGGATTGAATTCTCATCTGTTTAGGTACGTTTTTTGATTTTTGCCCGCGTTTTGTATGAAAATACTTTTAAATATAAAGTATTCAGATGTGAATCGTTAAAACTAAAGTTAATGTTATTTTTCGTTGCTTTTTATTTAATTTTTGCCATTATGTTGTTTGTATTTTTTTTTTTCGCCAGTTCTTTTTGATCGTCTGTTTTGTTTAAGTGTCAGTCGCCATTATTTTCCTTTCAAATCCTTTTTAACTTAAGCCCCTCTCCTTCGACCAACCACTACAAACATTTCTTTCTTCTTTTTTTTTTCTTTTTGGCGGAAAATAAAATCATTTTCTCTCAATAAACAAGAAGACATGAAAAGAGAACCTGTTTATTTGCCTGTGTTTGGTGCTCTGACTGCCTGGTCGCTAAAGCGCAGAGCAGACGATGAGTCGGTCGTCAGGGATTGGCTAGTTAAATTCTCGGAAAAAAGAACGTATTTGCCACGTTGGCATTTTCTTTAAAAACCGGAAGTAGTTCGCCGCTTGTTCCTTTACACCATGGAAATCTTTTCTATTATATGTCATTTTTTTTTTTTTAAATTTACCGAGATTTTCAAAAGTATACAAAAATAACATCACTATTTCGTTAAATATATCTGTTTTTGAGTGGCAATGTAACAGAGAGCTTCTTCTTAACATGAAGGAATTATGCTGTCGTCCACTACATGTCACTCACAAAGAATCTTACTTATTATAAAACGCACATTGTGTGTGTGTGTGTGTGTGTTCGTTTATATATGGGATCGGATTTCCTACATTTTTCAACCGATTTCAACAAAACTTCACTTTTTATGGCAGGTAGTGTTTCTTATTGTCGTGCACATTTTTTTCTTTATTTTTACATTCAGAATGCTTTAAAAATTCCATTTATAAGACAATTGTTTATAAAAATTCTATTCAATCGGCAGACTCATAACGATTGAAAACAATGTTTTTGTTTGAGATTGGGTTTGACCAATTCGTAAAAATAAAAAAAAATAAAAAAATAAAAACTAATTAAGACATGCGTGTCCGTCAACCTTAAACAATAATCTTTGTCAATTTTATTTTTCAGTCTTTATGATGGTCGATACTTGATCTATCTCTTACTGTTACATCCCCGGGCAACGCCGGGCGCTACTGCTAGTCTTCTGATCAAACTCTTATCAAGTATATGTTGGTGGCCTCAATAGTATCTGCCGCCAGTAGAAATATTTACTCAAACATTAAAAATCAAGAGAGGAAGAGAAAAGTGAGGAGAGCGTAAATGAAGTTTATATTTCTTAGAAAGAGAAAATGCTAAGTATTAAAATTTGTTACATGTCTTCCCTCCTACCCCGAAAAGAAAGCTAGCGAGTATTACAAAGTCTATCTTTACTTTCAAGTCCAGTTCATCGTGTTGTTTTGAGGTTGCTTTACTCACGTATCCTTTACTCATCTCTTCCTGGCGTCTGTCTCCAAAACTGTCCTCTGTACAGGCTGGTTTTCATTGACTGGCCCTTAAACGTCACATGACCAGCCAAACGCGCTACATACTAGCTGGGAAGAAGAAGGAAGGTTAACCTAACAATATACTTCTTAAAGTCAACTCTGAAAATTACAACTAACAATATAAGAAGCAGCAGCATGTGCAAAAACACGAAGTTATCTCTGCTGTGAGTTCTGTTTGACCAGGATATTTGCCACCATTTCTCTTAGTCACACAGAATTGAGGACATTCAATATTTTTCTTTGTTGTAGATCAATAGGTCCCAAACTGTTTCATTAGAACACTTACCATGAAATGGCGCAGAGAATTTATGTTATGGCGGCGGGAAAGGGACTGAAGCTGAGATGATAGGTCAGGACCAATAACATTGCAGATTCTTCTTGGGATTTTTATCAAGAATCTCTAAATATATAGCAGGCGCAGCAGACCAGTTATGACAGCTATATTCAAAGCAAGGACGAATGGTAGATTTATAAATATGTAAGATAGATTCTGGCGAGAAAAATTATCTTACTCGGCATAGTGACCCAATTTTCTTAGCTGTAGACTTAGCAATTGATTCAATGTACTCTTTCCACTTTATGTCAGCTGAAAACGGTAGTCCGAGAATCTATCTATCTATCTATCTATCTATCTATCTATCTATCTATCTATGCCATCGATTCATATCTCTCTGTTTCTATCCGGTTAATTGTATTTGCTTCTTTATATAATGTTTGGGAAAAATAAAAAGGTTGTAACGTGAGTTTTCTTGATAGGCGTGTAGTGGTTTGTCTAATATAATTATTCAGAATTTTGTTTGATCGTCTTTAATGAAAGATGCATAAAAGAAGGATTGATGGCCAAATACAACTATCATATATATATATATATATATATATATATATATATATATATATATATATATGATTCCATCGCTACATAAGAGTTCTCATGTTTCAAAAACAAGAGCCGAAAACTTCAATATAATTATTTGATTTAAATTGAATTAAAGTACCAAGCTCTGTTCCATCTTCAAGCAAAATTTTTTGGGGAATAACTAATTCCTGAAATTTACGCGTTTTATAAGCATATTCATTATTAAAATTAAAATTACTATAGTAACGGCTAGAGCAATTATTTTTTTAAAAAAAGAGGCGTAGGGGTTAATAATTTGTATCAATATCTCAGTTACATTCAAAGAGGTCAAGTCAGGGTAAGGTTGGGGTGTCTAAATTTAAAGCGGAAGATGACATCGTCTTATCTGGTTAAGCGTCTATATGCATTGACCAGGTCATTCTTGTCGATAGCTTTTTTGTAAACCTCAAACTGAAGTTCGTTATTATTTCTATGCAATATGATATGATGCACTAACAATAACTACTACAGTTTCTTAGGCTGCTGCCCCTTGACTCCCAGCCGGCATCTCTAGCCTACTCACTCTCGCATCCAGACGAAGTCACCTTTTTCTTTGTATTAGTTACTAGCAGTAGAGCCCGGCGTTGCCCGGGGATGTAACAGTAAGAGATAGATCAAGTATCGACCATCATAAAGACTGAAAAATAAAATTGACAAAGATTATTGTTTAAGGTTGACGGACACGCATGTCTTAATTAGTTTTTTTTTTTTTTTTTTTTTTACGAATTGGCCAAACCCAAACTCAAACTCAAACAAAAACATTGTTTTCAATCGTTATGAGTCTATCGATTGAATAGAATTTTATTATAAACAATTCTGTCTTGTAAATAGAATTTTAAAAGCATTCAGAATGTAAAAATAAAGAAACAAAGTGTGCAAGACAATAAGAAACACTACCTGCCATAAAAAGTGAAGTTTTGTTGAAATCGGTTGAAAAATGTAGGAAATCCGATCCCATATATATAAACGAACACAGACACACACATACAAACAACCTGGGTTTTATAATAAGTATAACTCGATATGATTTGTCCCCCTTTCATTCTGGCTACAGAATCGTGTTTTATCGTGTTTTCAAATTGATTTCGTGCAAAAACTATTGTTTTTCCAGTTTTGGGCGCTGTCAGAACCACCGCAAGGTAATTTTACGTAGTCGTTTGAAGTTTTGTTGAAATCGGTTGAAAAATGTAGGAAATCCGATCCAATATATAAATGTACACACACACACACACACACACACACACACACACACACACACACACACACACACACAACCTGCGTTTTATAATATGTAAACTACTGAAAATTCAAAATAACTAATGCATTTCGATTTTTTTCCGATGCATTGAGATAAGATGTCGCAAGGCGAATATCCGTAGCTATATCGCTACACCTATAAACCTAGAGGAGACGTTGGGTGCCTGAGTTGGCTGGCGAGAGACGCGTCCTCTCAAGTCAACAAGATAAAAAAAAAAACGCGCGTTTGTGTATAAATCTTACATTAATTTATATTCTCTGCCGGCATAAGTGTAAGTGGGTTAGAGTTTGTTGTAAAGATTTAAAAAAAAAACATTACTTGGTTGGAATTATACCGTACTGTCTCTTTTACACCCCCTTTTTCTAACCGCTCTCTACCGCCCCTTTTTTACTCGCTGCCCACTGAATCTTTCCCCCACTATTGGAGTGGGGAGGGAGAATACTGACCACTTTGAGAATCCCCACTGTAGAATAACTTATCTACTTATATATATATATACACCTTATATTTTCAGACATACATCCTGTTATTTAATCCATAGTCGGGGGAAAGAGGCTATTTGAGAGTATGTGAATTTAACGAACCAGGTTTCTCATTCCGAACCGCTATCCAAGCTTACAGCCCGTGATATTCCCACGCGGCCACCCATCTAAGTAAGGACCAGGCTCGACGTTGCTTCACTTCTGCGTTCGAACGTGAACCTGTGTTTCAACGTGATATGGCCGTAAGCTTTTTTTGCGAAATAGAAATAAAGAATCAACAATAATTATTTATCCTATACATTTCATTTGCTTTGTTTCAGCAAAAGACATTTTTCCAACGTGTTTTTTTTTTATTTCCTCTCATTCACATTTCTTTTATTCGTATATTTAGAAGATTCCTTCCAAAAACATGACCTTGTTCGATTCCACCGAAAGCGACAATAGCATTCAACACATTATTACCGCAAATCGATTTCTCTCTTTGTATTTCTGAGATGAGGTATTATGTACACCATTTACATTATTCGGACCATTGTCCTCATCTTTGTCGCCATATTTATTAGAACGTTTCGGCCGTTGTACGCTCCGGCATTCTTCAGGTGGTTTGAATGTCGAAGTGAACCCTTTATTTCACTCGCTGGGGGTCCTGTCACTGGATCTAACCAACGCCTTTATCCACTGTGCCATGTTCAATACCTGGTTAAGGCAGTGGAGAACTCGGAGAGGTGAATTAACAGGAGATAACTGATAACTGACATCCATTAGACATGGCACAGGGAACTAGAACAGTCTACTCCAGCGAGCGAAATAAAGGGTTCACTTCGACATTCCAACCACCTGAAGAAGTCCGGAGCGTACAACGACCGAAATGTTGTGATAAATATGGCAGCAAAGATGAGGACAATAGTCCGGATAATGTAAATAGTGTATCGATTTCTCTATTGTGCTAACACAACACTTTCCCCTTTTGTCTTTATTCCCTGCTATTCAATTCTCCGTTGGTCCAGTTTCTTTTCTCGGCCAAAGTGAAATCTTTACATTTTCCCTGTCGTCTTTTCACCCTGTCTTTTCATCTTATACTCTTACCCACGTTCTTTTAAGCTTCTGTCTCAACTTGTTGTATTCGAGCGGGTCACGTCAGGCTTACGTAGCCTTGTGTCTACTTTTCCCACTCTAGTTCCTAACCGTCTTCTAACAAATTTAGTCGGGCGTTATTATTGAGCTATTTTCATTACCTGCATTTTAGAAAGAAATGCACTGGTTGTTTTGTAAGGAAATCCCTCATTTGGAATTATATCACACGGAACAATATGAAATATATAATTATATTACTTCATTTGTTAAAATAATGTTTGTTACGCCTGTACGGGTCACGCATCTATTTGTGCGTTAGCAAAAGCAAGAGGTTAGTTAGTCCAAACAGGAGATAAAATACAATAAATAGTAACAAAAAAAAAAAAAAAAAAAAATGAAAGGAATGCCTTTATTCTATTTTAGAGAGTGATTTACGGTGAGAATAATGCCGAATTGTGTCGCTTTCGGAGTAGGTCACTTATTTATGTCACCTTTCGTTCTTTTATTTGCCAGTTATTACAAAGTCTGCCCGGAAAGTATCCAAAAAGAATAATTAACCTACCTAGGGTAATGGCGCCTTAGTCCACTTCAAACTACTCCGCTTGAAACTACAGACACTTATCCCGTTTCCTTTCCACTTTTCAAAACAGCGTGAAAATTTCTCTTTCGGGATCACCATCAGCTACATCGTCACGCTCTCCATTATCTCATCAACGGCGTTTGAACACGGATTTTTAGTTCCAGGCACGAAAAACAGGTAAACAAATTTACATTTTAAGACATCGACAAAGTATTTAATTATATAAAAAGAGAATTTTCATTATCTATATAATCCCTCTATTTACGAGATTATATTCGAAGAGTGATATAAGCAGTATGGACATAGGAATCAAGACAGCATGGTAACTGTCAGTTTTACTCAATGCGATCTTCAGTCCAGTCTAAGATCAGGAGATCACATTGAAGCGTGAAACTCACGCTCACCATGCAGTGTTGATGTCAATGTCCACCCTGTCTATTTATAAACGCTTTGTCTCTGATATTGAGCACTTTTCACCTGCAAATATTGCAAATTTTAAACAATATATATGAGGAGGTGCTGAAAAGATCTAGATATAGTCAAGAAGGGACTAAGAAACAATTCTGATATTAATCTGTTTAGGCAGATGTGGGCGAGATGTTCCTCGTATATACACTGTCAGATTTTATGCAAGCCAATTTTATCACAAGAAAATTAGTATTAAACAATCAATATTGGTAAAATGTCGGGAAAATTTTTGCGGAGTATTCATATTTATTCGGTATCATGTGAATTTCAGCTTATGATATCTAGTTTTAGTAGAAATATCTGCCATAACTTATTCAGTAATGTAATTATACAGCTTATGTGTTGTTTCTCGTTTTTTTTGTTTTTTTTTAATCCCCCCCCCTTCTACGGAAAGTGCTCTGACGAACTATATTCCCTGGTCCCGCCGAGGCAACCCTTCACAGCAAGGACACACCATGGCATTTACATAATAGCAAACCGCCCACATTCTCTCCGTATTCCATCGGTGAGAAGTAAGTTCCACTCGAACAGCTTCTTCCAGTGAACCACTGCCCAGTTGGACAGTCTCCCTAGAGGATTGTTATATACCATAGCTATGAACACGAATGAGTATGTCCCAATCCTCATAAATACATTGGACACTATTGTAAGTGTGTGTGGGCGGGGAGTGTGAAAATTCCTCTTTCTCGAATGGTATACACACTCGTGATACTTGCCGGTCACAGGAATCCGTCCCTGTGCTGGTAGTATCACAGCTATGACTAGCTTGGACAAGCTATGACCAGCTAAGACCAGCTTTTATTAAAAAAAAGCAAAAACAAAAAAAAAAAAAAACAGTGCTCTATACAGAATTACTCTAAATTTTAAGTTTAATATTGAAATTAAACTTTAGGACTTGAGTCAGTTTAGAAACAGTAATTTCTTTATCGCGATGGAATCATAACTTTAAAAATTAATTATAACATATATATATATATATATATATATATAAAGAAAGAACAGTAAGATATATAATCCGGTGTTCTCATAGATATTTTTATTTTTACAAAATAGTGCTCAATGTAAATTTACAGAGCATTAATATTATAAATTGATTTTTTTCCATTTTTGAAACATGGTTAGAACTGTGTAGCGGAAAAACCATATTTTAAATCAATTAATATATATAATATATATATATATATATATATATATATATATATATACTAACACGAGCGTCGACTGAAACGTTCATAGGCTGACTAAGATACACCCATGGAATGTGATCAAATGAGGAAGATCTTAATAGATCATTCTCCATAGCGATATTAAAGAAGTCAGGTCCAAATGAATGCGAAATCCATCGAATAAACATTTAAAACAACTACATAAAAAAACTCATCATTACCCTCTCCCCAACTACGGGTTAAATAGTAGTACTTGTAACTGAAAAATATGTATCCAAAATGTTTCCGCTTTAAATAACTCACAAAGGGGTGATACGCCGTAAATTAAATGAAGGGAATGTCGAGTTATTTCTGTCTTCATTTCATTAATTTTTTTTTCGATCGAGTTATCTCGTACATTTATGAGTCTATCACGCCAACCATCAAGGTCTCGCATCAAAGTCAGAATGTCATGAGGGTGGCATTCTGTTTCATAACATAGCTGGTCAATGTAAGGTAGTTGCTTGGCAACCAACACGTCTTGCTCCATGGATAGGTGTCCAGAGCAGTAGATCATTCGCGGATTCCTGTTTTTCACACCAGCATTATCCTGTAAAGGCAAAAAATAGAAATATCAAGGCTGGGTTCATAGAGCTGTGATTTAGTTGGATGTTGTCTCCAAGAGATGTTAAGTATATCTCTCAGCATGCGAGCGTAGGTTCTATCAAGCTTAGACTGTAGGGCTTTAGTTTGTATTTACTCAACCCTCCACGAGGTCAGTTTGTGACGCAAGGTTGGTTTAATGTGGGGAGCCCGAGCGCGTAAACCCAGGCTAGGAACAAATATTCCCCGAGACCCCGCAACCGTCGGTTGTACTGGCCTCGGTGCGTGCACTAATCCCTCTCTTTACTGCAATGAGAAGGCGCGACCTCGAGCAGCTGTTCCCCAGGGCTGGCACCTCTTAGTATAATTTTTACTCAGTTGTGACTCTGTCCTTTGACGGAGTCGCCCCTGAGCGCATTCTGCCCATAGGCAGAGACTCAACTGTGAGATGATAAATAGGATGTTACAAATAACCCGAGAGACAATTTATACTGTAGGATTTTAGTTAATGTCCAGGCTGTGGTCCCATACATTAACATCGTCTCAACAGTGGCTCGGAAGTATCTCCGCTTGAGATTGTCTGGCAGATCAGATATCCAGATTAAATTCTTTTTATTCAAGGCGGACCAAGCTTTTGATATGTGAATTTTGACATTCTTTTCTGTAGAACTTATCTCGCTTCCTAGGTATGTAAAAGATTCAACAGATTTTATTAATTCATCTGAGACATGCGGACTATTATCCTCAACTTTATTGTTATTATCTCAATGTTTACGGCCGTGAATTTCGAACTAAACACTTTATTTAATCTACAGGTGAAATTATTCTTATTCCGCATAACTTTTCTATTTTTTTTTTTTTTTTAGTAGAGTGCTACTTCCTTACTGCTCGCTTTGTTTCTTCCTAATCTAAGAATACACACTGCCCGGGTCATGGATTGAACTTACAATTAACATGTTAGAACATTTAAACATCAAAGAGTTAATTAACTAGGCTATGGGTCTATGTGATTTATATTTAAACTGAAAGGAGTGTTTGTCGGAGTTAGCTCCTCCTCAGCTCCTTAACCCTTCACCAGGGGTCTCTCTATCCTGGCTATAAATACTGGCTGACCTTTCACCTCGATCGCTTGTTTCCTCAGCCTTCGGTTTTATACCACCTCGCATATGTGAGCTCTCACCAATACAGCGTTTCCCAAATTCTGGGAACACGCTAAGAACAATACACGTACGTACGAACACTCACCACCACACGCACACATAATATTCACCACACGCACTCAATATAACTGTCCATGTGCTCGTAACTTGTTGTTAATACATATATTTGTTTACATATATTTATCGGTCCTATTTGTTTTTCTTTGAACTTAATTA